TATCTATACATGTCAATACGAAATAAAAGTGTCCAATGTACGAGTACTTTTCATATTTCTTGTTTTTCTAAAGTAAAATTTTAAGATTTTCTAAGGTATATTATCCCAAGGGAAGACATTAATGCCATTGCGTGTATCTACATATACATGTCAATACGAAATTCGATTAAATGAACATGATTTTTCCTTCGGATCCGAAAAGTCCTTTTAATCGGCGTCCCTTTTAACCGGTACTCGGTATAGAATTACCGCGTGGAACATTCGTATAATCACGATTTTTTGCTAATAAGATGTTGTGCACGTTCACTCGGCCGGAAACAGGCTATTAATCGATCCAACGTTAAAGCCACGCTCGAGCTTAAAGGAGAAACGGCGGTCGGTCGAGCCACCGATGTAATCTCCTGTTAATTAATTACAGTGAACTAATTCCTAAGATCTACTGCAGTGGAGATAAGGCAGGTGGTACACTAATTTGTTCTTTCGTGATTTATGAAATACTTAAAGGTCATCTGTTGCGTGGGGCTTCTTTTAAGTTACGATATATATTTACGTTGGAAAAATGTAGCCCTAATATATTTCGTGCGCTCAAGAACGCTGTAAATTGCCGTGCAGAATTAGAAACTATATTCATATACATATGTATACACGTTCATGCGAGGCTCATACATTTCTACCGATTTCCCCTATGCGTCACGATATAAGCTTTATAAAATAACATGTAGAATTTATTTGGATATTAATAAAAATGGCGCGCGATTTGTGTGCGATTACAACAAAATGTCCACGTTGGATTATTATCGCACTCGTAAAGTTCACTTTTACAAGTCCAATAATTCAAGGACAATACACGTCGGCTATTGGCATTAATAGCGTAGAGTATTCCTGTTACCGTTTATCTTATCGACGTGCCATACACTTATACGCGTACGAATTTCTCAAATCTCGATTAAAGAATCTTTTCGCGCTTGCAGCAGGTACTATTTAACGGAATTAATGCTCCCCGTCACGCCACGCTCGTACGCGATTGCGTCATACTTGCGTGACGGAATTAAGTCTGCTAATCATCCGCGAGAAGGACGGAGGGAGGGCTCGACACACCACGTAAGTAGCTCTCGCGTTATCCGTCGCATTTATTTTCCACATTTCCATCGCGTTTAACATCCGCACTGAATGCCCAGTGCATTCCAGCATAGCGGCGCGCGCGCGGGGGATCCCACCCTCGCACGCACCGCAACCTTCAGGTGGCTTAAGGGTGGTTTCGCCGACGCGTCGAAGGGATCGGCGGCACTCGGCCGCGGTGATTTGGCGCGCCGCCGCCTCGCGATTGGCCGGGCCGACCGGCCAATCGGCGGCGGCGCCGTCCACCAGGCGCGCTCTACCCGGGCAGCCAGTGTACCGCCGGTCGCGTACCTGTTCGGGTCGTTTCTGTTTCGGTCGCGGTTTACGCTCGTGGGGAAGCCCCCTCGACCCTCCGCGGGTGGGCCGGCAGTGCCTCGCGGGATCTCGAGATCCTCGAGATATTCGTTTGTTCAATTGTTTTGTATCCTTCTCTACCTTTCTATCTCTCTTTTTTTTTCGTGTCGGATAATGATTGGCCCGCGCCGATATTGAGGACCGGCGCGACGATACGAAGCGCGACGAGATCATGTTATGGAGATCGGCGAGTTGACGTCCTCGTGTCTCGTCGCCGCGCTGTCTCCCCGCACGACGGTCGGAGGGTCGTCAACCGCGTCGCCGAGTGATCCACCTGCTCGAGTCGACCGCCGCCGCCACCGTCGCCGCCGCCGCCGCTGATGCAGCCGCGTGCGAGCCGCTACCTCTCGCTCCCGGGATCGCCGCCGCTACCGCCGCCGTCGCCGCCGCCGCCCCTCTCCCCACCTCCGCCCTCGCTGCCGCCGTCGTCGTCGTCGTCGTCGACGACGCGATCCTCGCCCGCGGACCGAGCGGAAGATCATCCGCGATAGGATAGGCGCGCGTGTACTTCCACCCCTTTTCCCTACCTGCGCTCCGTAAATCACCGTGCGACGACAAGTCGACGCCTGCGGCTCTCGCGACAGTCCGTTATCGCCGATCGCAGTTCCGTATCGCCGCCTTCGCTCGTTAACAGGTGACAATTGGCGAATATGCGACCTCTATTTTTTTTTTATTTATCAGCGTGGTTTATTGGCGACACGGGGGATGCTTCGTACGTTTCGATAGCGGAGTTTAAGAGCTGTCAGTTTGGCACTTGAACGACCAGTGGGACACGTACGTTCCACCTACCTTTAAAAATCATGTCTTCCATAAAAGTCAACACATCGACTTCATATTAAAGAGAAAGGGGGGCTCTGAATACGCAAAAATTGTCAAGTCTGAGAATCGCGACCCTGTCAAAAAGTGTTAGAGCACAAATTTTGGGCAGAATGTTTTCGCCCACGTATACGTTTTAAAGTAAAGTCAAAATTATATACAAAGGCGGGTTGTAAGAAAATCCACCTCTAACAGTGGTAATATACGCAAAAGAGCGCCTTAAAATGAAAAGAGGAAAGCACAAATTTAGACCTGCATGTCAGCATATTTTTTTGCAGAATAATAGTTGATCTATGCGAAAAAAGTGTTAAATTACAATTAAACTCTTTCCAAAAATCATACTTAGGGGTTGAAATCGAAAATTAATGACCATATCAGATTTTTTACTTGTAATGTTTCGCAACTATGGGGGTGTTTTCTTCAATGTAAGGACTTACGGTGGCTCTTGCGTAAACCGACCAAAAATAGAAATGAAATAAAAGAAAAATAACATCCGTGATTTTTATTGACCGTATCTTGCAATTAAAATTCTTATTGCGAAAAATATCACCTCAGCCAGGATTCGAACCTGGGACCTCCCTCAATCCGTGACGAGCGTCTTAGCCAGCTCGACAACTGAGGCGACAGAAAAATGTTAAAGTTGTACTCTTTAATTTTTAATCCGCTATTTTGAAATCTTCAAATCTCATTTGAGATTTGAATTTAGCGACTAAAAAAACCCGTGTATCGATTCCCAGGAAAATTGGTCAATTTTTGTCTGTTTCGGTCCACCATATTGCACCCGCCATTTTGGATTTGGGAATTTAAAAAATCTGATTTCAGATTTGAATTCAGCGACTTGAAAAACAGAAAATCACTGTGCGCGTGATAATTACTTTGCGCCCTGAATTGCGTGACTGAAAGAGTTAAAGAACATTTTATTTTCACTTACAATTCATTATTTTGAGTCTGCCAATGTAGATTTTGAATAAAATTTCGATTAATTTTGACATGAGACCCGAAATTAGCGGCTAACCTCAATCGTTTATATAGTGATTTAATTTTTCTTCGTTTTTTTATATATAAAGATGACTGTTCCTGGTTTTGTCTTTATGCGTACTTTAATCATGTGGAAGAATTTTGCAATTTTATAAAGCCAATTTCAAATTTAGTTAGAACTACGAATTGAAAATTTCAAATACCAATATCTTTTTTATTAGACTTCTGAATTGAATGTTTTAAGTATGAAAATGTTCTGTTATGCGGTCCGGAACTTATCTTGGCGTTATTTTGTGCATAAAAGCTAATAAAAAGACAAGCGCAAAAACTATTTAACTGTGTCGGTAAAAAAGATGGCTGAAGGATCCCCGATAGTTTAGATTTAGAGGGTAGGAAAATTTTGAAAATTTTGTTTTTGTACATTTGACGTCTACTAACTTCGATTCATTATGAGTCGAGTGTGTGACACTTGCAAAAATAATTAAATTCGGATATCAACCGCGAGAAGATAATGGTAGTACGCGAGAAAAAAAGTTTAGTGATAAATTTTAAGCCGTGCGCCTCAAGTGCCGCAATCAACGTTTAATGAGAAATTTCTTGAATAATATGTCTTTCTACGCCTCCCATTATGTTTCATAGCGAATACTTAAAGCAGCTCCAGGTTCGTTAGCACGATATCTACATAAATTGTTATATTTGGTTCTTGGAGCGTGGCAGAGAATACTGTGTGTCGGATCGACAGATCTTCTATGGCGAATATCCTTTGTCTGCCTCACAGCTCGCTGTTGCATTACGATAATATAATTGGTGCGCTTGACATCAAAATGCAGATCTGAAAGAATCTTGGAAATCTAATTGTAAGAGAGCGTCTTTTGAAAAAAATTCTTTTGACGAAAAAACTCGCAATTTGTCAATAATAGAAAATCAAAAATTAAAAATTGCAAGCTCGAGGCATGATAAAAAGTAATAAATAAGAGAGATTGCTCTGAAACCTCATGATATTGAAATTTCACATATAAAGCTCTATAATCAAATCACAGACTCGTGATTGGCTGGAAAATTGGCAGCGCCAATTATTTGCACTTCTCTCGTACGCATTTCAGTCTCTTAATAAGGAGTATTTCACCATTTTTGATCGAAACATCAATTTGCATAATTCCATTTTAACTAAGCAATTGTTATTTAAAAATGGAAATATAAGGAACGAATGTGTATTGATATAAAATTATTTGTTTAATTATTAACGATACAAATTTGCGAGAATTGTCTAATTACTTAGAAAGGTGGAACAAAGTCATGTGGATAATAGTTGAGATAACATCGCGTCACAAGGAACAATAACAAAATTGTTAAAACACTCCTAAGCACTGAGGGATATTATGTTAGATGCAACACGCCGTGCTTTGACATTTTTTCATATTTTTCTGAAATGCTAATTTAAATAATTGTCCATTGTAACACTTGCTGCATCATCGAGCATAGGCCCGACGGTGAAGCTTATTTATTTTACACCTTACGACATGCCTGTTGACCCCGTATCGCACTGTTATATATACGCGATAATCGCGATATAAATATTTTGACATTCATCTTTAACATTTTCCGTGAATCCAGCTCTGTTAGCGTTGATAAAGGCAGCCGCGTTACTTTGCAAGGAAAGTTGTTGCACCGCAAACCTCGAGGCGGTTTTGTTAGCGGTATTATTATTGTCCTTTACGCGAAGACCCCCTTACCGTTGGACCCCCTTTTACTCTCATTAATATCAAGTACTGACCGCATCGCAACCTCATTATTCGCAAGACGCGTTGTCCTGCGCGCTATATATTTTAGATAATGCGACTAGGCAGGGTGTAATATTGAATAAAAGTAGATGGAAAGGATGTGCAATTTATATAACGATTTAATTTGTACAACTAAAAACGTGTCGCATCAAAGTAAGAATTTACTAAGCTCCAATCTAATTTAGTAATTAAGTGTTAAATATATTAATATAATCAAATATTGATTATTATTCCGACGCGACAGTTTCCTTTTCCGCCGTGTCCACTTGGCCTCCTTTCGTGCCTAGAAAAAGTAGAGAAGTACGATAGGCTCCGTGCATTAGGCCTCTGTACTTTTGCATCCCAAACGATGATTCCTTACGTTGGCTTTTATCAATAAATTTCGAGCGACCGCGCCTAGAATCGATCTCCAAGTTTTGGCACGGTAACCTTTCGCGAATTCCAAGCCATTGATTTTTATGCGAGCAATATTCACTCGTCTTATCGGGCTATTTTTACGATCCTCGCGAAGTGACCTCAAAATCTAGATCTAAGACGCAGCTTCAGCTTACGTCCGTGTCTTACTTAATAGTGATTAATAGCGTATATGCACGCAACTATCAAACGGCTTTATCCTAGGATCGCGAGCTTTAAGCACTGGGGGCCGCATATATCAGACTCGCCCGTCCCACCCTCGCTCGTTCTTGCTTGTTTGCGCTTTCTTTCACGTGGGACCTATGCCAAACCCTGAAAAATCTGTAACGCCGCACCGATATAAATACAATTGACATTGCCAGGGCGAGGCAATTAATTACAACAAGTTCGCTCGGTCGCGGAATCCTCAAGATTTCATAAATGCGAAACAACTTGGTTCACCGTTGCATTTGGAAACGCACGCACGCCGTAATACCCATTCAACTGAATGGGTTGTAAAGGCGGAACTAATTACCCGATCGGAGGGAACATTGATATATTATAAAATCGATAAATCGTTAGAATGTTCAAAATATCGCGCTTCTCATTACACCCCGCTCGTTACCAACTGATTGCATTGCACACGTCGCGCGGTTCGTTTGCATGAAGCCGCGAGGGTGTCACGTGGAAAATATTTTGCAGTTCCCCGCTCGAAAGCGAGTTTCGCCTCCTTCTCCTCCGATAGACGCGAGATCTCGAGGGGATCCGAAGAAGTCGAGCGAGACGCAGCCGGCGGATCGATAGAGGAAACGCACGATGAGACGCACGATGACGGGGAACGTGCCGGTGATGGTGTGACCTCGCGGATCCCTGAATATAAAAAGAACAGAAGGAAGCTGGAAGGGGGGGAGGGGGTAGGAGGCAGCCTTGTCGTGGACTTTCGGCAATTTAGGCGGCGGTAGGATCAAAGGTCATGGCAACGCCGCCGGACTCGCCGGGACCGGAAGAGGCATTCTTCGACTTTGAGAGTACGAGGACGAGGCAACAGACCACCAGGCCGGTGCCTATAGAGGAACTTCAGCGACAAACTAAGTTCTCCCGCCAGGAGATCCGAGTTATGTATCGAGGTTTCAAACAGGTACGTCCCTCTTGACCTATCAGGCACCATCGATTCTCTGGAATCGGCATTTTGCGTTATCGTCCTAAGCAGTCATCCATCTAACAATAAGTATAAGGGTACGTTCGCGGGGCGCGCTATTAGTGCACTAAAAGTGCTATATCTATCTTTCGTCGACGTATAATGAGCTAACAGCGAACGCACCTTAAGTGCTAACTATACCCAACTCAAGTACTAACATCGCCTGACTTTAGTGATCGAACGAGAATTACTTTCAACGGGTATAACCGAGGGGGAAACCGCTGACCAAAAGCAAGGCCTAATGCTTAAACTACTGCCTAGTAATGCCCAGTAATGCCGCAAATCCGTACACAATGCCCTCAGCAGTTTCCCCCTCGGGTTTCACTCTTGATGGTCATTTTGCATTATCTTAAAAAAATAGTGCATTTACCATTTCAGCGTCATCTCCATACCGAAAAAATTGTATTCTTGAAATGCATACTTTGTGTCCTTTTAATAGATATTCGCGAGAAGTAAATCACTGAGGGCATTGTGGTGTACAGATTTGCGGCATTACTAGGCATTACTAGGCATTTTTTGGGCATTAGACCTTGCTGGGGCATTATGAAGGTTAAATAAGATTTAAAAAAGGTTTAAAAAGACGCCAAGTATAAGCGTCATCCAATCAAGAAGTATATAATTTAGTTATTTGGATATCTTTTATTTAAACAAAATTTTTATCTTCTCCCCCCCCCCCTCCAAAGTATCTTCTCTACAAAAGTAATGATATCATCAAATGGCACCAACTAAACTGAATATTTTTACAAACTAAGTACTTTATTATTTTTTATATTATATGTATAACGCGTATCTTTCTTCTACCGTAATTATTCTGTAAATACATCTCATTCGGCCAATAACGTATCGACAGCACCGATGAAAAGAATAGCAACTGTTTAGAAATTTAGAAACTCTGTATCTATTCAGGTGAATTAAGGCCTGTGTCCATGATGCTAGTACTTGGTCCAAGTTCTAATTCCGCGAAATATGTAGCCAATGAATATAGCCGTTCCACAAAAGCTGCAAGTTGATTGACTACGCATTTCTCAAAACTTGGATAAAACAAGATAAATAAGATAAAATAAAGTAACGAGCCCACTGGACATTAGTAAGCATTGGTGTCCATGATTTTGGTCTTGGTACCCCTTGGATCGAGGAGTAAACCGCTAAGAGCATTGTGGTGTACAGATTTGGGGTATTACTGGGCATTTTTGGGCATTAGTTTGGGTATTAGGCCTTGCTGGGGCATTATAAAGATAAAACAAGATAAAATAAGATAAAATACGATAAAATAAGATAAAACGAGATAAATAAGGTAAAATAAGATAATAAGATAAAGTAATGCCCACTGGACGTTAGTGGGCATTGGCCCATACAGCACAGATGGTTGCAGTTATATTGTAGAAACGTTGCAATCTTGCAGATTGCAGTGCAATCTTGCAGAGACATTGCAGGGATATAAAATTGCAAACTTTCGATAGCAATATTGCAGCAATGTTTCAAAAATAATAAAAATACTATATTTTCTATTTAAAAACTTTTTCTAATTACGAGAATTTTATAATGTTATTTTTGTACCAATAATGCGCGAATTATTAAGTACTTGATCAGTGCGGTGTTGCTCGCAATCTCCATCTATTGCGAAGTAACATAACCTCTTTAGGTTGCTTCCAAAAGCTTGCTATGCCTTGAAAAAGGCCCGGATGTATATGTAATTAGTAAATTCTCTGCTTATGTACAACAACAAATTATTCCAAAAATATTGCACTGTAGTGCAACATTGCTATAACGTTGCACTCGAGGGGGAAACCGCTGACCAAAATCTTGTACACCAATGCCCACTAATGCCCAGTGGGCATTACTTTATCTTATTATCTTCTTTTATCTTATTTATCTTGTTTTATCTTATTTTATCTTATTTTATCTTATTTTATCTTATTTTATCTTTATAATGCCTCAGCAAGACGTAATGCCCCAAAAATGCCCTAGTAATGCCCGGTAATGCCGCAAATCTGTACACCACAATGCCCTCAGCGGTTTCCCCCTCGGTTGCACTACAATCTCTCTGAGGGCGGACATTTCAACGTTGCTGCAATATTGCAATCTTGCAATATAACATTTCTGCAATCTTCCTGCAATCTTTCTGTGCTGTGTGGGTGGTGTATACATGAGTTTGGTCAGCGGTTTACCCCTCGGATATTCGTTATAGGGATATTTTCTTCCTTACATTATGCTTTAAAACATTTTAAATTAAGAGCAAAACGTACCATACTTCCGAATACATTCGGGGATACAAACGAAATAAAAAGAGGTATTGACAAACGAAATTGTGCCAAAGGCAAAAGCAGTTTTATACCGTCGCCGTTCAGCGCAATTTTTCTCGCACGTTCGTTGTAGTATGCAAATGAGTATCTTATCGCACTTCGCTGCACAGCGCCATCAATTTTATTTTCATCACCTCGCAGAGATTTCTCTCTTGTACGCGGAGATTTCCTACAATTTATGCGAGATTATTTCATTGGCACTTGCAGTATTTTGCATTCCTAATCTACGATTAAAGATTTTATCACTGATTTGATCTAACTGTGAAACACGTAGTCACTTGAAGCATCGCACACCACAAAGTGTTAAGTCCTTCTGGAAAACCTTTAACATTTCTTTTAGACGAATGCGTGAGAAACGCGCGCTCACACTTTCACAGAATCTGTTCTTCATCGAGAAGTACACATAGAAAAATCACCGCATGTCCTCCCCTTGTAAAAAAAACTTTAACCGCAAGGCCGAAAAGCAAAAATCTCTTACCGACAATAATTTATCTATTTAAAGTATTCTAAAACTTATTAATTCCCGTACTTCTTTCCTTTTATTAAATACCTTCGTTTAACGTGACAGAATTTATTGAATCTCATGTTACACCGAGAACTGATTAAACCTAACCCAACATAATCAAGTGTGATTCTAGTTATCTATTTGCTAAATTTCGAGTTATGCCGAAGATTTCTGAACATCGTTTTGTTCATGATTATTCATCATTTTGTAAGATTACAGCAACAACGAACGCGCTAGCTGATATAGCACAGCTCGTACTAGTATTTTTAACTCTTTCTTTATTAAAGATAGTCTCGCAAAGTATTGATTATTCACGGGCAGCCCACAGAAATTGTGTTAACGCGGTTACGTAAATGAATTGATTATAACGCTATTTGACTCAATCATCAGCAAAAAGCACTTCTTTCCAATCGATTTGCCGCATCATCACCGAGCATTTGGCTCATCTATATCTTTAATCTTTCGTGATAAACGAATTTTACATCGAGGTTGTCGCGTATCTACATAACATTTTATCACCAGTAAACAAATCTGTTTACATGCCCGTGAAAATCAGTGTTGAATTGTGCGATCAAATTGTAGGAACAATTAAACTCCGTAAATGTAGGTG